GAGATAGATAGCTCACCTAAGGTAGGTACGCCTAAAGGTGAGTGTGACAGCTATTTCTAACCAAGACAAAGCGAAGGCTAAGGCACTATTTTTGGTTGTTTTTGTAAACGTTAGCGACTTAGGGGTGGCCTAAAACCGACCTTTGCCAACCTTTAATTAGAGTTAACTAACTAGTGTTATAGTGTTTCCCTTGCGGTTCAATTAAAAATTGTGCCAAATCATCAGGGAAACAGACGCGATGGTGAAATGCTATATTTCATCAATGTTTGTATTATAACTTTCGTGAGACATACTAAATAAATGTTTTGGCTTACTCACGTAATTATTTGACGAGGAACTCGACTAGTTTCAAGCCATGCTAGAGGCTCTTATTCATGAGCAGCATTTCGCGACCTGCAATGCGGCGACTGTCAACGAGTACTGTAGAGTACTGTACTACCTCTAGCATGGCTTGAAACTAGTCGAGTTTCTCGTCAAATAATTACGTGAGTAAGCCGAAAACATAATAATTCATCAATGTTTACCAAGATTTTGTAGCTTCATATTTCCCGAATTTAAACCGAAGCAGACGCATTCAGCAAATATTGGTATGGACGTCAGAAACAATACATTTTAACGCTTTTCTTTGATTTTGAGCCGGCCTTGTTTTTCAATTACTTCCTAAAGCGAGTCCCATTGATCTATTGTTAGGCATCGCAGTGACCTCGTTGAGAGTTTGTCCGTAAAAACAGGCATTACACGACTCTTTTACATTTGCTAATGAACTCTGGTTATTTGTGGTCATTTTCCTTTGCAGAAAAACCCGGTAAGGGAAGTCGTTTTTCTAGAAATGATTTAAGTACCTACTATTAGTTGCAATTTAAAAAGTTTTAGTTTCACTACTGCAGCCATTGAAAGCGTATCTACTGCGACCCTTATTTCAAAATTATCAGTAATAGTACAGCGTCTACATTAGTACTCAATTCAGGGTAAGAAGTTCACAACCGGGTCAAACCATAGGCCTAAAGAATTGCGTACAACTGATCAAATTGTACACTACCATGCAAATCGATGTTCTTATACTCCTGCAAAAACCAGATCACTAAACAAATTTCTTCACACTAAGTAAAAACTGACCCAATAGGGCTTTTGCAAACGTATCAAAGCAATAGGCGCCATGATGTCCCAACACCATCATTAGCCCATTGTCCACGCCTCGTCTGACCATATAGGACTTTAATGGGTTCCTGGTGACACACACAGACATGACGCAAATAATGGGATGATACCATGTGTAGCGGGATTTTGTAACATATAAAACAATGATGGTTGATGTTCAAGGAAAATGTTTAGAAATAATCCTACAATAGATTCACCGCCTGGCTCAGGTTGTGCGAAATTTTGCCTGTTGCATAAAAAATTATTATAATATAAAAAGGACTGCAATTAATGTTATCAGATTCATAAATTCATTATAATAAATGTAAACATTTATGGTAAAAAACTATTAATTCAAAAATGGTCCACTCATGAATCTTCTTGAAACACCAGAATATAAAACACAAATATTCTTAATTAAAACAAATATTCATTACCTTTACAAGCTCCGGTTCAACGATCTGTAGACCAAACAGACAGTTTGGCAATTCCATTTAAGGAGGTCCATAACCATACAATAATATGTAAATTCCTAAATTCTATCAAAATTAAGGTCAATAGCTACCAAAGCTCCATTTTTTGACACATTCCAAAAACAATCAGACGGCCATTTTGTTACGTAAATGGTCCTTCGAGTCCTCAAAATGGCGGTTGCGCAATAATTCGCAAATTACCTCGCGTGCGTGACCAAGTCAATATAGAAGTGATTATCACAATTATATCCATTGTAGCACAAGGAAGGCCTGATTAGGTTGCCTGTTAGAAGACTAATGAGCTTTGACAGACTTCGTGATGGTATGTCCAAATAGGTTTTTCCTCAATGAATTAGGTAGGAGTAAATAGGACATCCACTTTTCAACGTTAATCAAGTCCTCACTAACTTTACTTACTTTGTCATGTGGGTTTTTCAAACCAGAACATAGAGTTCAGTATTTCATATAGATCTACTAAACATGCATTTTCATCGTCAAACTAAACTGTCCAACCAAAATGCTGTAGCAATAAACTAGTAGAAGAACAAAAAAGAAAATACTAGAAATGAAGATTTTTTCAGTTTTACTTCCAAACTTGAATCTCACACATTAATACCTCAGAAACGGCTCGACAGTTATCGATAAGCCATCGGCTCGCGTAATTGATTATTCGTTTCTGCTACACGTGAACTAAGCAAAACCATAACTCGTATGGACCATGAAATAATCGATTTCTAAATCTGTTGTAAAAACACAAACCCTGTAATTAAATTGGAAAATTGTTTTTTAAGACATTGATAGCCTTTTTTGGCGTGTTACAAGATTTCATGATTGCAATGAAATAACTAAGAACATAATAATGCTTGTAATATCTGTAATATCAACAAGATAAATATAAACATCGAGCTCAGATGCTAATAGAAGCATCTACTACAACACTGCTAGATTTCTGGTACTGCTGATAGATAGCTAGCTTCCCACTGATAGCAATACTACGCGAAATACCAATGTGAAGTAGTAGACCAAAATGAGCTGATGTTGACAACTAATACTTAATTTTTAAATCGCAGGACATTATCTATCTGAAACTGAATTTTTGACAGTGCCTATAGCAACCCAAAACAGTAAAAGCTTTGAAACTCCAGAAACCACAAAATTTGACCTAAAATTGCATCACAAAAATCTTTAATACACCTTTCCGGAAATATCTACAGGGTTTTTGAACCCAAGAACCACACAACAGTCAACGGTTTCTCATAAAAAATGCTCATCTCATAGTATAACAGGAAAAACCGCAAATACTTGTATATATAATCATACAAGAGAATCTTGATAATAAAATGTTAAACTCTAAATAATGATCTTTTGTTGTTAAGGGTCTCAGAAAGATCATAAAAAGTCAACGGTTTGAAGAACAAACGGAGACGCGCTAAAATAAAGCGTCGCATAACGGAAAATGCGATTCTGACCCATTTTGAAGGAAAATTGTTTACGACGAGGAAATCTTTAAAAAAGTTATCATAATAACAGTTGCTATGGATGGGTCATTGTCATTTTAAGGAAAACCACATTTGTAACGATCTGTCACGATGTCTAGACAAACGTTTTGTAACGATTATGTGATTCGAGGAAGTCATAGTCACGCCCTATCTAGTAACAAGGTAGTAAAAAATTAGGAATGGCAGTTATCTTTGAGTTCTCTCTTCCGAAACATTTTTCCGGGTTTTACAAAATTGGAGATTAAGAGCTAGTTTCACCACTCCCAAAAAGGTAAGTACCTTTTTTGAGGTGGGAAAATCATCCAATGGTTTCTCCCGCCTTGGGTTAAGCTCTTGTGTCAGACTCTTACTGACTAAAAACCACCCCGTTCCTACTCCTGATCTTCGAGCCGGAGTCTCGAAACCCGTTAGGCCTTCCGCAGCTCCGTTATTCAAGTACCTCATTTAATTTAATTCAGGCAAACTAAGTTCTAGATTATTTCTTTGGTGGATAACTGGATAGTTGCTATCCAGAACCTTTGAATATCCTGATCTGATAGAGGTATTCACAAAGCCTAACTTAAAGCATAACTGAAGATACTATTGCACAGAACAATTACGAGCGACCCAGTTATGTCGCAACAATAATTTGCAAGTTTACGTTAAAACTGGAATCATCTGTTACGAAATTACTTGATTATATCACTAGATATTTAGCTGGTAAAATTTACTGCTCTTGAAAGGATTTATAGCATGTGAGCATGCTAATTCGGAACAAGTATTAAATTTGGTTGAGCCGTTGAACTTCAAGCAAGCTTCAAGAAGTCTCTCTCTGATCATAAGTGTCATTAATGACTTTCAGATCGGCGGATTGGGACCTGCATCCAGGAGTTCCCTTTACCAATTAATCTGACAAAAATTCTTTCGCGCATATCTTCTTCTAAGTAACCCAAATCTCATTAGACTGACCTGATTAAAGAAACGCAAATGAGTACATAAATCATGATTCCCAACAAAAGACCGCAATTTTCAATGGAAATCACCCAAGTTCCGTATAAGTAGTCAACCACAGGCGCAGTGCGAAACCACAAAGAGTAAATGAGATGACGTGTAGACGGTAATACTATCATACTTGTACCTTGTACTATAGTTTAGAAATATTGAGGTTAATGGTGGAATCAGGGAACGATCTGCCTTTGAGATATACACCAAAATTCTGCCCAGTGATAGGTATTCTGACGGTTAGAAACAGCACCATGACGGGCTTGTATCTTTGTGCTTCTGATTTTCATGATGGGCCAGCTAAATAGCAAGCAAACTGCTGAAATTCGTCTCAGATATATTTTAGAACAGGATGTGATAATCAAAATTTGACGCGGTATCCTAATCGATTGACATTATAATTTTGGGAAACTATTTCAATAACTTAGGTAATTGTATCCGCAGATTCTGTTAGCAATTTTCAAGTACAGTTAGCAAGATTGATTTATCGATATTACAAACGCGATCTCAAAGCAATTTGTTAACATTAACGATTGATATCTAAATCGGTATTACGTGTGGAACGAGCTCGCCAAAAAGGTCTCGCTTGAAGTGATTGTTATGTTATTGTTCACGATTAACGATTAACCAGTACATAGCGCATGACTTGTTTGAATATAACATTTCAAGTTTTAAGTTGATAACTATGTTGCATAGTAACTACTCTTTCGATTGGGTGTGGAAACTGTACAGGCATACTTAATTATATGTGCTTTTGTAATAATATATTATCTGCCGCCTACACTTGCCACACACCACTGCGAAGTAACCTTTTTAAACTGTCAAACACCAAGCGGTCACCGGTGACCGCAACCTATTGTTTTTTAATTGTGTCTATAAATACGGTACTCGACGAGTTAAAAATACATACCTTAACATCTATAAGCCTGACAGCGAAGGCAGCGGCTTCAGGCGCGGTGAGGCTGAGCTGGCAGGGGGTGCGGGGCGCGGACGGAGGCCGGACTAAGGCCAGCGCCAGCGCAGCCCCCGCCCCGCTGTTGCTGCCTAACTCCAGCTTCTCTGTGCGCCCGCATAGCAGACTAGAACAGATCCCTGGAACAATGGAAAAGACATTTTAAGATAGACCGAAATGTTATTTTAGGATTAATTTAAAACCTAATAAGGAGGAAGAACGAAAAGATGAAATGACTTCGATGTGTTAATTTGCTTGTAATTACGTTATCAAAGATCCTCTAAACCTGGTTTCTATGGGAGAAAATGCAATGCTAGTTTTTTAAAACGTAACAATCCTTGACAAGGTTAGAATTCCTTCAGATTCGATATGACAATCCTTTTATCAATTTCATTATTCTGTGCCTATACATACCATTGTATCATAGAGGACAAATCTCTATGAGCACATAAGAAAGCTGCTCCGAAAATATATTTTGACATCACACATAAAACAATTTATCGAAGCCAATTCAGGCAATAAAGTCCAGTCCAGACGGTGCAGAAATAAACTGTTTATTACTAGTTATGTTCGTAAAAATTCTAACTGAATTTTGTCTTGACAAAGTGTAGTTTGTACGTTGTACTAGTAATTTTAAAAAAGATGGTGGAAGGTAGCTTCTCACCGATTGATTTAAAAGGCATTGGGAGAGACGTATTATCTGTAGCCCTATATATTCAACAGTGGCCCTATATTCGTCTTGATGACGATGATGATGAAGTGTAAAAGACAAGACTATGATTTGTGGAATACAAGGACACGTTCTTAGGTGTCCATTCATGTCCACATAACGAAATAATAGGTAATAATGTCATATATGTTTATGTCAGCATTGTGGCCCATCTTAGATGTTTTCCATGCCATCATCCATCGACTGTTAGTCATGCCGCGTATTACAATGAGCGCTTCATCAAACCATAATACAATCATCATGGCGTCAGCTGGACTAGTGTTCATATTTTGAATATCCTAGTTGCCTACGTGTTCGGAGAAAAGCAGGTGGTGTCTATTATGTTCTCTAAACATATTATATACTTACATAAATAGTTTTAAACTATTTGAACAGTGCCAACAACTGACTCCCACATAGCAACATCTGCATACAGGTTTAGAAAATTAGATTATGAGCGTAAAGCGGTTTGTTTTATTACGAATTTGCAAGCCAAATGTATGTATATAAATACTTAGCAACTGCGAAATGTATGAGCAATCAGCATTTGGCAAAGGATTGGCTGTGCACATTCAAATTATCATATTCATAATCTTAGGCGTGTAAGATTGAAATGTTGTAGGTACATTAGCATATATTAAATTTAATTTCTGGTGCCTCCTCTATTATTTTTTTAGATTTCCTTTGATACGTTCATAGTTAAATATTTCATATGTCTCAGTAATTAACACTGAGTATGAACTGTGCCAGCTGTTTAGGTTCAATTTACACCTTTATGGTAATTGGCTTGTCATCCGATCATACACTATCTTTTTCTCTTCAAGCTCTTTCATTCTTCTTACCTTTAGTTTAGGTAAGCACTATTAAAGAATACCTTTAAAAAGCGCCTAGGTTTTTGGGATAAAAGACTAAAGAGTGTGGGATTTTTACCTCACCAAAACCACCCCGGTGGCCACGCTCAACACCTGTACGGAGGCAAGAGTACCTAACATTAAAATTTACAACTTCACTATATTTGTATCATAAGTAGACGTTAAAAGAGGCTTCGGTGAACATTACCGGACCTAACAAGTATTCATGACGCACTATATTTCGAGAACTTGTGTTTTTTATGGAACTCTGAATTCTCCATACAAGCCGCTTGCGCATGTGAACTGAACAAATCGTGACAAATGTACATACCTCTATGTATGTATATTAAGGCAAATACATAGACCTAATCATTGAACTGCATCGTCTGTTGAATTCCTGTTAAAATGAAAGAAATATTTTAAACATATTTTGATTGTGTGCCACTCACGACCTTTATAACGACCTGCATGATAATGATATTTCAACGCAAAATAAAATAGCGTAAAAAAAATAGTCTTGCACTTCCAAAAAAAAATCAACTGTTTTCCATCAGACAACCATTCACAACCGTCTCACGCGCAATGATAGAAAACCGCCATGCGCAGTCCGAATGCGCAATATACCAAACATGCGTCCACGCATGCGTTTAAGGGCAAACAGCCGGTCGGACAGAAATAAAACAAATTAAAATTCTAAATCTATTCCCAGCCTCATTACAGATACATTAAATTAAATACCTTTAATGGTTTTTAGTTACCGAAAGTTCGAAAATAACCTCATGTGTGTCCGTTTTGTAATCACTATACTCATTAACTTACTTGAGCAGTCAGGTTTGTAGAACGGCTGCCATTTATATGTGTGTTTACTTAAAGATATGTATATCTGTATTTTTTTTTAAGGTGGGAAAATCATCGAATGACTGCTCCCGCCTGGGTGAGGCGGGAGGGAGTGTCAGACTCTTACTGACTAAAAACCACCCCGTTCCTTCTCCTGCACGTCGAGCCGGAGCCCCGGTTACTCGTTAGGTTCTCCGCGACATGTATATCTGTATTACGTGAATTAGACAAGCTAATACAACAAGTCTGAAATAGGTGTGTTTGTTGGTCGTTTTTTTTCTTGTTCAAATTCAAGTCTGGCTTGTTTTTCTAATTCCGTTTTAGAGTTATTTTTTGTGTCTATGACATAAACTGCTCAACATCCTATTATTATTTACTTGCTTTGTCTAGGTTGGTTCTTTAAAATGGTGAATTTGTCCGACCCCGGGTGGAAGTATTAAGATATTACAACTTGCTCACTTCTGTAACTAGACAGCAGGTTTATATCTACTTACAGAAATTAGCTGCTAGCTAGAGGAACAGCTGACGTTATGACGTCACGTGGACTTGACTTTTCAAATATTGAATTAGACAACATTTGTTTTATTCTCCAAGTCTTCTTTAGTCATCGTAAAGTATATTCTAGACTTGATTTTAAATACTAGAATGATCTAAGATGGGATAGGTTTAACAGAATTAAGCACTATAATTCTTTTTGGATTTATTTTTATTGAAAATTGCAGAAAATTTTAATCGTTATTGCTTGCAGATGTAACATATCGATCGGTAAAGAGAATGAAAATAGAAATTCGTTCTTTTCATTCTCAACAGCCTTTAACATTACAACGACTTTTTAGAATACCTACGCAAAAATAAAGAAACACACAATAGGTACCAAGTCCCAAGAATGATAATACCGAATCTATTTTTAAACGTAAAACCAATGTCTACACAAAAATGACCCGAAACAAACGAACTTAGTTCATAAATAAACATCATAAAAATAACTATACCTACTTAAAAAATAACCTTGGAAACGTTCGAGAAAATTCTAGAAATAAACAAAAGAAGATCCTTAGATTTTGGCCGCCATTTTCTTCAATCGTTAACGTCAAACTGACGTCATTTAAACGTCAAAGTCAGCTGATCGCTTACACAATGCACGCAACTTTTCACGGATGAAAGGACAAAAAAATTATGTACATTGGCACATAATCAAGTGTAACGTGGGTACTCGTTACAGTGGCTTTTTCACTACATAGGACAGACGTGTACTAATATTTCGGTTTGGCTTGTTTTGTAGATATTCACACACAATACATACTTGGTACTTAAAGTATTAGAGTAAGTAGAGTATATTAGGTATATCAATGTAGTCGTGCCGTCCGAAACTGCTGAACGGACTTTATTTACATATTTATTTCGTCTTCACAAAAGATAACAGTAAATGGCAGACTTAATGCCTTAAGGCATTCTATGACAGTCAACTATAGGGAAATGCAGAGAAATGAAGCGGTTGATGCGAAACCAGAATGCTTATTTACTATATAAATATTACTATTTTGATACAGAGAAAGTTCCCTGAGTCAGTTATAGGCACTTGATGCAAAGCAAGATCGTTGAGTCTATAATTGTTCGTGTTTCTGGATATATCCCACGAATGTTAACGACACATGCATCATTTAATTTGTCACCTCAAAAACAGGGATAGCAGAACCTTTTCTAATAGTATTTTTCACGTAAATTGATTATAATTATAAGCACAAACCGTTAACGAAGGGAAATAAAGAAACTTTAATTAGATATCTAGCCATCCTATTTATAGAGTGACCATCCTATTTATAGACCTAGGTTCTTACTACAAACACGTCTAAGACACTATCTGCATCACAAGGTATACGCCATAACTTAAGACTAGTTTTCACTTAGGATTTGGTGTTATTGCGAAGCTATTTACATTTTTGATCATTAGACCGCATTGAGGTTAAGTTGATGATACTTATCTGTGCAAAAATTGAGGTTAATCTTGTAGTTTGATGTTAGAAGTATTCTAGGTGTGTTTCTCGCTTATAAGATGTTCTTACATTTTCTATCCCTATATCCTATCCAGATAGTTGAGAAGCAGTGCTCATTTCTACAAACAATCATAGTGTTTTCACAAAAATCATCGCGGAGAACCGAACGGGTTACCGGGGCTCCGGCTCGACGTGCAGTGCAGGAGTAGGAACGGGGTGGTTTTTAGTCAGTAAGAGTCTGACACTCCCTCCCGCCTCACCCAGACGGGAGCAGTCCTCCGAAGATTTTCCCCTCTTGAAAAAAAAATCTAAAAATGAACAATATCATTGATTTCTGGGATCTATAAGGCGACTCTAAATAGATGCCACTGCACTTAGTATTCTGCATACGATTTGATTACAAATCATCGGGCACAGTTCCAAAATGCTGAACTGGAAATCAATGAGGGTCGTGCCAGTGTTGCAAGTTCTGTTTTGTGCACATAAAACTTGAGAACGTGCAAAAAAACATACAAGTGACGAAAATGCATTGTTTTTTTTTTTACTTTGCCCCACACTAGGCTTGTCTCCTGTGTCGTGGGTGCGTTTACAAATATACAAGTTCACATACACATGACACCCAGACCCAAAACAACAATTTGTGGATTACACAAAGAGTTGCTCCGTGCAGGAATCGAACCGCGATACGTTGCGTGGCAGCCGGTTGCCCAACCACCGCACTAACCGTGTTGTCTTTAACAGTAATTGTA